GTTTAATCCATGTTAGTTGAATATTAATGCACAAATAAAACTATCATTGGCGATCACTTGAATTATAATCATATTAACCCTAAACAAGATTATTTATTATCTTATTAACCGTGATTACAAGTACCAAATTCCTTTTAAACATGCATAAAAGGCGTGATCAAACAATAACAATAAATATATATCAAGCAACATAATAATAATCAAATTATATATAATTTATTCGTCAATTAACAAATAACATGAAATAATTCGTAAATTAACAAATTACGTAAAACAATTCATAAATTAACAAATTACGTGAAACAATTCGCTAATTAACAAATTACGTGAAATAATTTTCTAATTAACAAATTACGTTAAATTATATAATTCGACACAACAATAATCATAATCATAATTATCATAATCATGTTCATATTAAATCATAATTATAGCAAGATCATAGGCATGATACTAAGAAGATTAATAACAAACCCTAGCATGTCACTAAACAATAAAAATCAAAGCTTTAACCCTAACATGATACTAACATGCTATTAGGAAAGAAAATAAAAGACATCGCAGGAATCATGATTGATATAAGCAAATCACCCTAAATATCATACTAAATAAAGCATCCTAACATGATACTAGGAACATCCTAAACATGATATTAGGAATCAATAAAACATCCTAACATGATAATAGGAATCAAAATAACAATCTAAGCATGATTAAAGCACTTACTTGGATGCCTCGTATCTCTTTCTAATAACAAAATACACGCGTTAGAAACTTCAAGGAAAATAATAAAATCAACAATTAAATTAAATAATTGAAATAGAGATTAAGAAAGTTTAGACTAGATTTGGGACCAAACCCTCAGAAATTAAAACCTTTCACGTCTAGGGTGAAGGCAACTTCGAACAATGCTAGGTGTGTCTAGTGCTAATGTATGAGATATTGTGTTTGAAAAAAGCTAGGCTTAGAAAGAGAGAGAGAGAATCAAGAATTTCTTGATGAGAGTTGGTGAGAATTAAAAAGATAAGAATTGATGATTGAAAACGGAACTTTAAGAGGCTATTTATAGAGAAAATCAGTCGGATGGATAAAAAAACGAATCAGAGTTTCAAGGAGAATAAAACTTGATTAGCGCCAGACGATGGACATTAGCACCACGCGCTGAAGGTTAGCGCAAGGCGCCAAGCCTTAGCGCCGGGCGCTAATGCTTAGCGTTAGCGTTAGACGCTAATAATCAGTTTTACGAGTTTTGTTTTTATCATATCTTTTGATCTAGAAGTCCAAATAAGGCATATAATATGTCATTGGAAAGCTCTTGAAGTCTAATTTCCAAATCAATTAAAATTAGATTAAAATATTGTGTAGATGAAAAGATATGGCCGAAATAGTGGAAGGGTGTCAGTTTTGGATAGAGTTTCATGTCTCATTTATATCTTTTTCGTTATAACTCGGATTTAATATTATAATATATCATTGGAAATATAATTTCAAGATCTATCCAACCATATAAAGTTTAGATAAATATTATAAGGCATGAAAATAAAATCTGAATATATTCCATTTTGTACAAAACAAAGATTCTAAAAAGAAGTAGTTTTATTCAATTTCAAACTCTTTGAAACATAATTATCAATCCTAACTCCATTAGGATTTAAAAGCACTTTCTAGAATATTCTAGAAGACTATAATCAATCCTAATAGCTTTAGGAATGATAATTAATAATAGGCCATCCTCTAGATCATTGGGCCGCATATAAAAACCAAACCGGACTCAGTTTAGTATTTTGGCCATAACTTCCTCATTATTTATCGGAATTGGGCTTATAATATATCGTTGGAAAGATATTTTCAATCCCCATCCAACTACACCATTATTGGACCCTTATCATGGACCAAACTAAAATGAAATGCACGTTTTTCAAAAATAAGGTAAGAAAAGAAATATTTTCAAAAACAGAAAGAAGAGATATTTTAATAAAAAACATCATCATCACTAGACTTTTCACACTTTCTCTTTGTTCGATAATCAAATGACATGAAAGGTACTCATCATTGGGTTTGGTTTTGGGGAGACACATTTGGGTGTCTACAGCTAGCAAATGAAGCATATCAGCTTATAAAAGGAACATATCATCCAACAAAAGGGTACATATCACCCTAAGCATCCACCACCGAAGAGTTTGCTGTCGGAGGAGTCAATAGAAGGAACATATCAGTCAACAAATAAAGCATTTTAGCCAACAAAAGGATGAAACCAGCAAACAAAAGCAACATATAAGCTAACATGGCAACAAAATAAACATAATAGCCAATAAAATTAAACATATAAGCCAACAATTAAAATAAACATATCAGCCAACAAAATTAATATATCAGTCAACTAAAGAAACATATAAGTCAAATGATGTTCGATATTAGCCAACAAAAGGAACCTAACAAAACTTTTTCAAAAAATATATCATATAACAAAAATAATATATATTAGCCAACATAAAAACTATATTAGCTAACAAATGAAATATATCAACTAACACATAAAATATGTTAGCCAAAAAGTAAAATATATCAGCGAAGGCGGCAGCTGGGGAATTTGCGTGCGAATCAATAGCTTTTCAATATGAAATAATGTAGGCAACCAGAATGAGGAGAATTTGGTCCAATTAAAAGCCCAAATGAGATTTTTATGCTAAAATCAATTAAGGTTTTCACTCCTCTTTTGACGTTCAGTTGTGAACCATCAACAACAAAGTGGTTTCAAGAGTATCTTTTATCAATCTCATATGATTATTAATAAAATATAATCAAGGTACTTAAATTTTTTGCGATCTTTCTTTAAAAATCAAAACGAATCAAACAAATATATCACATTAGCCCGTTTCTTTTTAGTTGACACGTTTCTTTAGTCACGTTTGATATAATGCACAATTTCAACCATTTATATCTTTTATTACCAATAAGCAAAAATTATGAAAAATTGATATTTTGAAAATATATTTTATCAGAGCGAATCTAATAAGATTCTGCATGACTATATTTTTCATTACGTATAAAGCACAAAACACGATTAAAGGGAAATGTGTGAATAGTGCTAAAGTCAAAACGTGTCAAAAAAAAAAGGGTAATATTAAATTTCATTTGAATTAGAAATTAAAATATAACTACTCAAAACCAAAAAAAAAAAAAAAAGCATTAAAATCTGCGATAATGGTCTACATTGACTACATACAATCACTTTATTGACTTATTGTATTAAACTAGTTGTTGGCACAAGCGAAGCCTGGGGTTATCTAATGTAATACTCCCTACGTTTTTTTTATATTTTTTTATTTGTATCACTTGGGAGTGCACATAATTTTAAAAGAGTAATATAATATTGTCAGTGGGTGAATAAATTATTATAGTAAAAGTGATATGGAGACTATGAAAGAGAAAGTATGTGAGAGAGAATAGATATTTTTATTATTTAAGTAGGGACCATGGAAAAGAGAGAGAAATGATAAAATAATTTAAGTAGAGTTTAAAATAAGAGAGAAATGATAAAATACAATATAAAGTTAACAAATATAGAAGTGATGTATTTAAAAAAAAACAGACAAAGTATGAAATTAAAGATAAAATCACAATCATTTCAATTTCATCGCAACTAATTATGATACAGTAAAATATTTGCAAAGAGTTACATTAGTCTTTAATTAGTTATTTGGATGATCCCACAAATTTTATAAAATATAAATGGGTTTTTCTAAGCTATACCCCTAAGGTATTTGAGTTTCTAAGGTGTACCCATGCTTTTTCAAGTTTCTAAGCTGTGCCCTTCAACTCCTTATCAATACTAAAATGTATCCTTATTAGTTGTTTAAAAGTTATTTGAGAGTGTGATTTCGTGGCTTCAGTTTTCATTATTAGGGTTGCGGTGGCTAAGATTTCCTTCTCCTACCATTTCCTTACCTTTTATCATCTTTCTATTAAATTTATAGTTAACTTTAGGTGACGTGGAAGTCCTAAGGAGGGTACCATTCATTAATGATAGTGAGATGAGGGACACAACTTAGAAACTTGAAAAAACATGGGTACACCTTAGAAACTCGAATACCTTAGGGGTATAGCTTAGAAAAACCCAATATAAATTTACTCTATTGGATTGACTCTTGATATTTGCATCCATTTTTTCGGACTTTACAGGTTTGAGACAAAAAAATTTCATATCCTAATAAATAATTATGATGTAACAATGTTACAATTAATGATTGTGGTTTTCCAGCCATATTAATAATCAATTTCATATTACTAAGTACTACCAAAACTAAAATGACTTTTTAATTAGTAACTAGTTATTGGCCCGGGCGATGCCCCGGTGCATTGTTTTTTATAATTGTTTGATCAAAATTCATAAAAACGTTTAATGGACATTTTTTTTTTGAGGAAACGTTTAATGGACATATTATAATAAAAGTGAGTGATAAATATAATAATCTATATTATCTTTTAATTTATTACTGTAATATATATATTTCAAATATGCATGTCAAATTTAAATATGGAGGCACATATGAAGAGTTTATCATGAAAATTAAATATTATTATAGAAAATTAAAGTTATAGAGTAATTTTAATTAACTACACATTACTATAGAATTCAATGTAGTGAGAAAGTAAATGATACACATATGATGATACATGGCGCACATGTGGCACTAAATAATAATAATAAAGGGTGACACATGGCATTAGAAGGTTGTTCCTATGACTTTTAATAATAATATAGATTATGACCATGTAAAATGACTTTTATTTAGAACTTTTTAATTTTTATTTTATTTTTTTTATCGATAGTATTAATTTAAATTGTAATTAGTTGCTTTGGTATTTAAGAATAGTATAAATAGATATATGTGATTATAAATATTACTTGGTGCCATATCATTGATTTAGATAATGCGACACACGGTATAACATATACTGTCATTGACACATAGCAACATGACATGTATTGCCATGAGTTTTAATAGAAATATAGATTTCACTTATTCCGAAAAATTAATAAAGTACCTACTACATTTTCAACAACACAAACAGAAGGAAATAAAATTATTTCTGTAAGGTGTGCGGCAATTTGTAAGCTCTCCTACATGTAACATGTTCCATGACCAAATCTTTGGAGTGGTTATTGAAGATTTAAAGTAGGTTTAGTCGAGCCCGAGAACTTTTTTGATGTCGAAGGCAAAGGAATAATAAAATTTATCAAAATCGGGTAAGGAACCCGATACACTCGATTTCTCCATACATCTTTTAGCCCATGTAACAATTTTGGGACAACTAGCCTCAATGCTGAAATTCCCGAACTTTTCGAAAGCATAAAACCAAGGTGCAATTGGAATTAATGCTATATCAATGTAACCAAGAGTATCACCTCCAAAAAACTGTTGATTATTAATCACCCCTTCTAATATCTTCAAGTTCTCAATAAACTCCTTTTTGGCTTTCTCTTCCTCTTCTCCTTTTGTCCTCCATACTTTTTTTGCACCCTCGTATATCTGCAATAGACCAATCTTGTTATTAAATTTAAAAATCAAATCGATCTATTCTGTATTATTTTAAGAATATTTGTTGTTTAGAGAGCCACAAGGCCGGGGGTGAGAATCGATCCCAGGATCTCTTGAAATCGGGAGGGAAGCTCTAACCACTTAAGTTATCCCTCACTCTCATTTTAAGACTATTTGTGTTAGAGATATGAGATGGATATATTTTCCGATATCTCATATTTCTAACAGCTTGGCTCAATTGTTCTTGCACCAAATTGTAATCTCTAAATTTATATTATCCGAGGAATATACTTCGTATATGAATGTCATAACTTATACTACCTTCGGTTTTCTTAGTTGACAAGTTTTGACTTTAACACTATTCATATACTCCCCTTTGACTGTGTTTTGCGATATATATGTAATGAAAAATATAGTCTGGAGTCTTATTTGATTCGTCACGATATATATATTTTTAAATTTAAACTTTTTATAATTTTTACTTGTCAATAGTTAAAGATATTTGATTGAATTTGTACATTGGCAAACATGACTAAAGAAACGTGTCAAATAAAATGAAACGGAGGAAGTAGTAATTAAGGGCCTGTTTACTGAACTGAACTGAACTAATTGGAGCTGAGCTGAGCTAAAATGAATATTTTATAGTAGAAGGAAATTAGGAGCTGATTTGAACTGAATTGAACTTATTAAAGCTGAACTAAAATAAATAGAATTGATTGAAGTTTAACTGAAATGAAAGTAAGCTGAAGTGAACAGACCCTAAGTCACTGTTCATTTCCCCTCAGCTTATTCGAAGTATATATTCCAAAATAATATTTGAGCTTAATAAACATAAATTTAACTAGCAAAAAATTATTTCAACTATGTAAAACTAAGTTTCAACAAAATTAAAATATGTAATTAAAAAAGCTTTAATTAGTAAAGTCGATAGATAACTTAAGTTCGACAAAAAAATCATGTGAAGAAAACAGAGGAATTAAGAACGAGTCAAATAGTCAATTACCTTATTGTCAACAAATTGGCCCCAAAATCTAGCTTGAGATCGGAGGTAAGGATCAGTTGGAAGCAGAGGAGATGAGTGAGTCCAAACTTGATCAATATACTCAACAATTAAAAGTGACTCACAAATGGGTTTGCCATTATGGATCAAAACCGGAACCAATTTATGAATCGGGTTCATCTCAAGTAGTAACGACGACCCCTTTTCAGCTAAGTTCTGATCTTTGCATTCAAACTCCACTCCCTTCTCTGCTAGTGCAATTTTCACTCTCATTGCACATGAGCTGCACCAGCAATCAAGCACCACTACTTCTTCCCTCGACATTTTCGAATATTAATTTTTGATAAAGAGAGTATTATTATTATTATTATTATTCTTTTTCTTAACTCGAATGTGATCTTGAATTTTATGATATAGACCCTCTTTTTTTATTTTATTTATTTATTTATTATTATAATGAATTGCAAGGTTTGTGGGATGAAATCATGAAAGCCGTCATCACATGCGTCATTACTTGTTGACTGGTTGAGATTTTGAGGTTGTTGGCTATACAATTGATTTAAGACCTGGTAAAATAACCTGACTATAAGTATTATCTTTAAAAAAATAGGAAAAATAGAAACTAATAATCTCACTTTTGTCATTCCTGCTTAAAACAGTTTCACCTTTTCGAAATCTGGAAATAATCCCACCATTGACCCCTATCTTCTCAAACAGTACCTTTTACCTACAACCTGTTTAATTATTATTATTATTTTTTCCCTTTATTTTCTCTCCTCCCACCTCACCACCCTCTTTCATGGCAACCCACCATAGCAACCACCCCATCACCACCTAACCTCCACCACAATACCTTCTTTCTCTCTCCTCGCCACTACAAATTCCTCTCACCACCGCCAACAACCTGACCACCTTATTTCTCTCTCCTCCCCACTGCAATTTCCCCCACAAACCCCCTTAATGTCTGCAGCAGCAAACCACACGCCTCCACTTTGCCACTCACCACACTTCACACCCAAAATAGCAACCATTCAACACCAAACAACCACTTTTCACCAATTTTTACCACTCAATTTCTATCAAGCTACTGCCCAATCGCAACCAAATTTCGACCAACGCCGACCACAATGGCAGCCTATCCCATATTCCTGACCGGTTTGTGAAATTGATTGTGATGGGGGGTTATTTGTCATCGAGAAACAGGGATAGGGTTAACAGTGGGGGCTTTGATATGTTCGTCGACGTGCGTGGGAAGGGGTTACGGGTGGGGATTGCTGTTTTCCGCCGGGGAAGGGAGCGGGGCAGGCAAGCTAAAGCAGGGAATAGGCAGCTGGGCCTGGCTGGGGGAAGGGGGTTCCGGCAGGGGAGGTAATTGGGGAAGAATAAAGCTTTTTTTCAAAAAAAAATTATTCTTTATTTTTAAATTATTTAAAAAACCAATTAGAAGGTGACATGTGGCAAGTCACCTTCTTAAATAGGTTGCTAATTTCACAAACCGGCTTAGGGACTGTTTTGAGAAGATATGGGTCAAAGGTGGGATTGTTTCCAGATTTCGAAAAGATGGGATTGTTTTGAGCAGAAATGACAAAGGTGGGATTATTAGTTTCCGATTTTCCAAAAAATATGGATTAATGTACCTATTTATGTACTTCATCTGTTTTTATTTGTAACAGTTTGAATTTTACACTATTTATATATCTCACTTAGACTAACATCACCAAAACCTAGTCTAAGTGAAACATGTAAATAGTGTAAAAGTCAAACTGTTGTAAGTAAAAACAAAGAAAGTAAATAAATAGAGTTAAAACTGTTTAATTAAACGAACCTTTTCCTTTTGCGGGCGTATTAAAATAAATAAAACATTTTCCTTTTGTGGGCATGTTAAAATAAATTAAATGTTTCATTTTTTAAAGTAATTTCTCTCTATTTTTTAGTTATATTCTCTCTAAAATTTAGTAATATTCTACCCTTTCTGTTTTTTTAAATGCATTAGTTTGATCGTCACATTTGCCAAGACATAGCTTTGACCATTAATATATTTAATTATTTATTAGTAAAAATTATATTATAATAAAAGTAGCTATTGTGACAAATCTAATGATATATTATATTTCGTATAACAAAAACTTTTGTAATACATCCGTTGTACAGTAATATTATTATTACTGTAACTTTTGTTGAATTTAGTGTATTTTTATTGAATTTAGAGAAACTTTTATTCATGAAACTTAAATTTTCTTTTTTGGGTGGTTTAATTGCTCGCAACAATTTCCTTTTTTTGGTGGTTCAATTTACTCGCAACAAAATTGTTTCTTTCCTTTTTTTAGTATGTTTTTGGGTAGTAATTGACCAATATACCCTTACTTTTTTAAGCAACCTTATTAAATTATAGATCTCATTTTATTATATTAAAACCCAAGCTTAATTAATTAAACCCTCAACCCCTTTAATTTTCTCTCTCCTCCTCCAACCCCATTTTAATGGTGGCTTTGTGGTGTTAAGAGTGGCGGGGGTTGCAGATCGGCGGCGTCGTGAGTTTGATTCGTTGTCGGGTTTCGTGGTTTTAGATCGGCGAGATTCGTGGGTTTGATTCATGGGTCGGGTTTCCTGGGTTTTGTTTTCGTGGGTAGGTTTCGTTGGTTTGGTGGGTTGGTGGATCGGCGGTGCTGGGTTCATGGTTGCAAATCGACGATGATGGGTTTGTGGTTGCAGATCGACGGTGTTGGGTTCGTGGTTCCTAGCTCGAATGTCTGGTTCTAGGTTTCGAGGTTCGTGGATTCTGAGTTCGTCGGTGCTGGGTTCGTGGGTTGCTGGGTGCGTGGGGTGGTGGTGCCATGGTGGTACGTCGACAGTGCTGGGTTTGGTACTGGCTGGTGGTGTGTGGTTTGGGTGATGATTGGTGGTGGTGGGTTATTGTTTTTTTTAGGTTGGATTAATAGTTAAGGATATACCCTTATTTTTTCCATAATCATGTTTTCAATCTTTTGCTTTGGTTTCTGAAAAGTTGTACTTTGTTGCAACTAAATTGAACTAGAGATTGTAACTTTTATTTATATCAAGATAACTTATATATAATGGGTAACTTTTATTCATTATAAGATAACTTTTGTTCATTTAAGGTAACTTTGACGCGGATGTACAATACTTTATTGTACATCCGATTTTTTTTAGATGTTTGTCATAGTATAATACTCCATCCGTCCCATAATACTTGGGATGTCGGGGTGGACACGTAGTTTAAGAAAACTACATAGCAGTTCATTTAAAGTATTTGTTTATTATATTAAAGATTCTCTTTTGTATTTTAATATTGTAAAAAAAGAATAAGTGGGATGAAAGTGGGGTAGGTGTGGAGAAAGAAATTGTGAAAAAATATTTTTTTTATTGATGGTCTCATACTCCAATTTCATATTTGGTAATGTGTCAAGTATTAAGGGGCGGACAAAAATGAAAAATATATATCCAGTATTATGGGACAGGGAAATAACATTTATAGTAGGATATTATTAGTTAGTTTTTCTATAATAAAAACTTTTGACTTGGGCCCGATTGACCTTACGGCCTTACCATGTGAAAAAAAAATGCCATAAAGATGAATTTTTAAAATCTAACTAAGCTACTTGTTTCAACAGAAACGGAGGAATTCCTTGAGGGAAAAAAAGCAGATGTTTTGGCAGCCCACGACATTATTTTCATAAAAAAAGGAAAGAAAAAACCCAAATATATTATGAACTTTGTTTCTTTTTAGTTGACATGTATTTCTTTTTAGAATTTTTTAAAAGTTGACACATTTCCTATTGAGGTAAATTTTTTATCTTGCATTTACAAGCTACCCTATTTGCCTTTTCATTTTCTCTTACTCTCTCTTCTCTCTTTAATATATGTGTCTAAATCAAACGCGTCAACTAAATAGAAACGGAGGAAATATTATAATTACTAAAATTATTTAATTACATGCGTAGTATGCAAATTGCAACATGCACCTAAGTGACGCATGTGATTACTTCACTCATCTTCTAGAAATCTTTGTCATAGCTCTATATAAAAAAAAGCCATAGCAAAAAATAGTTTCCTACTCGAAATCCTAAGATTAAAAAAAATGGCGGGGGAAGAAGTAGTGTTACTTGATGTATGGAGCAGCTCTTATGCAATGAGAGTGAAAGTTGCATTAGCAGAGAAGGGAGTTGAGTATGTTTGTCAACCACAAAATTTGGTTAGTAAAGGCTCTTCGCTTCTTGAGATGAACCCGATTCATAAGAAAATTCCAGTTTTGATCCATAATGGTAAGCCTGTTTGCGAATCGCTTGTGATTCTTGAGTATATTGACGAGGTTTGGCCTGAATTGTCTCCTTTGCTTCCAAAGGATCCTTACCAACGATCACAAGCTAGATTTTGGGCTGATTTCATTAACAAGAAGGTGATACTCTCTTTGATCTATTATATAAGTTGGGTTTTGATAATGAAGTGTAGCTCAAGTGGTTAGAGCTTCTTTTCTTATTTCAAAAGATCCTGGGATCGATTCTCATAACCTAAACTTTCTAAAAACCAAAAAAAAAAAAACAAGTCGGGTTCTATTTGAATGTATCGATTGATCATAATTAAAAATCTTTTTATTTATCTTATTTTTGCTTATTATTTGAGTTGATAACCTAATTTGACAAAACTTTAACCTTATATGCACGTATTTATTTTAACAAAACTTATATGTACGCATTTATTATGCAAACAATTTCTATTATTATAACGAAACATATACACATAGTTCTGAATTTGTGATCTAGTTATTAAAACTTAAATTGACTGATGATATTTTAGAGCTTAGTAGCTGTTTTGATTTTGTTAGTTGGCACTTTGTTAATAGAGGGGGCAATAAAGTAGCTCATACCTTGGCCCATCCTCAACCTTGGAGCTTTGGTCAACGTATTTGGGTTGATGCACTAAAATTGTTTGAAAACTGTCAAAAAAAGTATCAATTCGGCTAATATGTTTATCCAATTAATTAACATGCTGATACTATAGTTTTTTTTGTATTAACTATTAGATCATATACTCCATATGACTGTATTATACAAAGGGGCGAAGCCAGGATTTTAAAACTTTAGGCGTCGACTAACACTTTAATAAAAATAATAATAATAATAATAATAATAATAATAATAATAATAATAATAATAATAATAATGTGACATAGTTGGATACTCTAATTCTAAGGAAAAAAAATTCATTAAATCCTTTTTTAAACCCTGCATTCTACTAAAATATACACGAAGTATTTGTTAGATTATTTTGTATGAGATATCCTACATATCACAATTATCTAAATAATAACGTACATATCAATCTTGATGATGTACAAACACTTCCTCTATTCTTCTTGCATATATGCCTAGATTTATTAAGACAAGCTTCATAATATATTTCGTTAGCTATCAATAT